CATCAAACACGGGACTATGAGACAGTCAAACGGATACGTTCAGTTCACGATTCCCCAAAAAACATAATCCTTTTCAATGTGTGTCAATGTTTCAAATCACAGCATTGTATGAGTCATAACCACTCTCGTACCTCACTTGAAAGACAGCTACAACTAGCAGCCAGTCAGCTTCACCTACAGGCTGGAAACAAGGATAAACAACTCTCCTGTCTCCTGTAAAGCTCTATATAGCACATACATTTTCCATGTTAGAGCTATAATTAGGCTATGGACAGTTGCCAGGCGACTCCAGGAAGTTGCCTCCAAAATAAAGTCCAGCACAAACTCCCCTCAGTTACCGCAGTTTGCCAACTTCCCCCCTACGAGTACTTCCTACATGATCTTATTATGTTTCTCTGTATTGATCCCGAATGAGGACTTCAAAAGACGACGCACTAAGACATGCATTCACTCTGCAGTGTGAGGAAATCCACCACAGAGAAGCAGCTTAAGTAAAAAGAGGACACTGCAGTTGGTCACAAAATGAAATTCAGACGTCAGGATAATGTACACAACCCGGATAAATTCCTGTTCCTTTTGTGTGGATTCAGGCTCCCCCACCCCCTACGCTACATTAGCTACAGTATCTGGGTCAGGGTGATAGGCAGACAGAAGAGAACAGTGTGACTCACAAGCGTTTTTAGTGTTTGTGTATCTGTATGCTGTAAGTGTCCTCTTCTAGCCTGGCAGGATGGACCAAGCTCAGTCCTCCTGTGACACTCTTTCTGTAGAGGTTTTTTCTGAGGCATTTCAGGATGTTTGGCACTTCTGCAGAAACCCATCAAGATCTTAAAAGCAAATCTTGTCTGAATCCATCACTGTGTGTGTATAGATTGAAAAGATATTACACAAATCCATTGGATTATGGATGAAAAATAAATGCAAGATGTCCAGCAACCAGTCTCATCAATAATACAATGATGTGCTGCTGTGAAATATCAGCAGATGCTTAACCTCTTGAATAGATGGTGTGAATGCCTGGAGCAATGGTGATAACCACACGGCAAAATGAAAATAGAATAGCAGCTGCTTCCCTCATCACATTAGGACCTGCGAAACACCTTGAAAGCATAGGAAAACTGTCATCAATTCATGAATATTTTGAGCTGTCCTGCCACCTGCACATCCATCTAACTCTGGTTGAGTTTTCAAGGTTTTAAAATAATAAATCACCAAAAATGTATGAGTTTGGTATATACAGTAGCACACCACCTCAAGGCTTTGTAGTCTATTTCTTAGAGGACAAAAGTGACGGAAACAAACTTTTTCTTTCACCAAAGCACCTTGGTAGTTTCTCAATTCTACAAAGCGCACACATTTTTATCCTGTGGCCAGTGGCTGGGGTTAGTTTTCAACCCTAAGAGTGACTTTGGTAGGCTTGGATTCGTTGCTGTGTACAATTGACTCTCTTCTGTGACTTCTGGTTGCAAAAAAACAAGATGACGAGGGTGAGAATTCCTCCCTTGTCTTTAAATGATGGTCTACAAAACCATTAGTGACGTCAGTGAGCACTTCAGTCGATGTAACAGACAGTATAGTCCTCATTCAAGGTTGTGTTGGACTCTTTTCATGTATATTTTTTACATCCCATTGTGCCGATACTGAACGGTATTAAAATGCAATGTTTAGCTAAAAAACCTAGAAGAAAAACTGTGAATATCAACTATTGGCACGAGACTGCATCCTGAGTGTTAACATTTCACAGACTGGTAAAAGAGTAATTGATATTCAGACTTTTTTGAACTAATTTATTACTGACTATGTTGTGTTTCTTTGTCCCACGACAAGTCCTCTCACCTTTGATGTCCTCTCTTCCTCTCCTTTTTGTTCAAGCGTGTCCTTATGAGTCATCTGAATCAGAGATGACGCTCTCTTTCTTCTCCCTCTCTCTTACTGCATTATTGATCATAGCGATCCAAGCAGACTCAACCTTGTGACGGTAACACACACACACACACACACACACACACACACACACACACACACACACACACACACACACACACACACACACACACACACACACACACACACACACACACACTCTAGTGTAATCAGTCATTACTATCTGCCCTCTGAACACCCTGTTCTGCAGTATAAATCTACACGGCTGACAGCTGCAGTCACCCTGACTGATGAGCTCCAAATCAGTGTGAAGAGCCCCAACGTCGATGAAAGCAGCTCTCTCACATGGCATGGCAGACCAAGCTTTATTTATTACTTCGCTGGGGTACACCTGAAATACATAAAACTCATTCCCATGTGGATGCAGAATGTGCTGTTTACAAGGTGAAGTTCTGACAACATACTTTGATTCTTGATAGAGCTGCAAGGCTTAGTCGATAATCACAATAAAGTAATCGCCTTTAACAATTTTAATAAGTCATTTTTATTCAAACTTGGCAAGAAAAGGTTGTTTACAGCATGTCATATAGGAAGATTTACCGCTTCTCACTTTTGTAATTCCTAATAACCTAAATACATTCTGGTTTTGACAAAAGAGGACATTTAAAGACATCATCCTGGACTTTAAGAAACTGGTATAGTATGGACATTTTTTAAAACCATTTTATAGAAGGAATGATTAATAATTCAATCTAAAAGAAATCAGCAGATTAAATGATTATAAACTGTTAGTTGCAGCGATAATTTTGGAGAGTATTTACTGCTTTTAAAGTGGGTCTCTACAAACAAAACAGTGATTATGTAATCTACTTTGATTCCCTGATAAATTTGAGTTGTTTTGTTTGTTTTTATCTCAAACAAGAGATTTGCAGTTGGGGTTGTTGATGTATTAAATACAAAGGTGGTTCCAATGGATTTACAGCATCAGTGAGACTGAGCTATTCCAACACTTTGTTTATTTTTCCTCTTTGAAACTGTGTCAAACTTCTGCGATAAGAGCCTTTCATCAGCCCAAAGGCAAAGGGAACTAGGAATCAGCGCTTTCTGCTCACGAGGCAGATCCACACCCTTTCTCACCCCATCTTCCCCAAACTATAGAGGCCCACATCTGGAGTGACATCATTAGGAAAACAGTGCTGCAGACAAAGTGATCCTCTGATGTGATTTATCTCACATTGCCATTAGCTCACAGACATATGGCTTTACTGTGAAACAAGAGAAGTGTCAAAGAGTAGTAGAAGAATTCCGAATTTAATTTACAACCTTAAAAATCACGGGACAAAACATGAGAAGACGTAGAAAGTGTGCATCTGTGGCAGTGGATTTATATGTTTTGGTAACGGATAAGAAGAATAAGCAAACACGAGTTGCGGTTTATAAACAAAAAAACAGCGTCTGACTAAATGTCTGAAGAGTGTTTGTTGTGGTGCCAGCACCTGACACCCCACCACGCATGGAGAGCAAGAGCTTGACATTGGCCACGGCAACAAAAGCATTGTCCGTACGGACCCCTGAGGAGATCAATTTGCTCCCCCCAGTCCCATGCTTTTCAGCAGGGTTGAATAGAGGACAGAGGGCCGGTCGCAGCAGCAGGAGACTCTGCAATGTTTCTCTAATGGGGTGTAGAGACAAACAAATCACTGGGATGAGACGTGGTCTTGTTGTTGTGATGAGCCTGTGATTTACACCTGGATCATTCAGGCTGATAAGGGATAATTAGTTTGGGATTACTGTGATCTATAACAGTTTATGAAGCCAGTGTGAGTGTGTCTCTTTGAGTAAGGGAGTTTAAAGGGCAGCGTTGGGGTTTACTTGTCTGTTGGTTGTTAGAAGTGAAGCTGACCTTACTCTCCAGAAAAAAACAGATGATGTGATTAAAAACGTTGCTTCTGGTCAGCATTAATCCCTGTATTCTAACTGGGGCTGCAACTGTATTGATTAACAGAAAGATACTTTTACCTTGATAATAAACATTTTTTGTAAAAAATATTATTATTTCCCAGAGCACAACATTATATTGTTAACTTTGGTTATCATTACGAAAAAAACAATTACAGAAAATGTTCATATTTGTGGTTACTGCCAAATTATGTTTGGCTTTTTTCACTTAAAAATCGATCAAATAAATTAATGACAAAAATCTAAATTGTTGCCGATTACTTTTCTGTTGACCAAGTTTTGTCTCTAAGGAGAAAAAAATAAAAACCTATATTCATGGTAAAGTAGCCTACTCCTTCTGGAAAATAATGACATCACTATCATTTGAAAACCGATTGTTCTCACAATTCCATTTTTAAGATTTCCCTTTATCACATTTTTTTTTAACATCTTCCCACCAAAATAGCCCATCAAACTAATGGACTACTGCAGATCTTTAATTATATCTGCACTTGGAGAATTGGTGATTTACCTAAAACCTGCATGTAAACTGCATTAACAGTGATTAAAAAGCTGGAGCAAGTCAACCTTTATACCTGTCTATGCTTTTAAATGCATGATTCACAGTACCAAAATCACGTTGTATGGTCCCTCAAACACACATGCAAAGTTAGTTTTTTTTAAATCCCTGAAAGTCATTGATTACCGACCTTTCTGTCTGCAGTCTCTTTCACAGTCACGATTCTCATGGCCATACATTACCTGAAAACGCCTCTGACCTGAACCATCAAAACGAAAATAAGCGAATAAAGAGTGGGAGTTCAAAGACATATCGGGGAAAAAACGTGCAGTTCATGGTAGGAGAAAAAAAAGACAATCATTGAACGGGTTAATTTTGAGTCATACCAGGCTCCGAGAAGTAGAAAAATGAGAAAACAAATTCCTCCGCCGCGGCGACACAGAGAAAGGAAACTTACGTCTTGTGTGTTTTTCGGTTGTGTCCGGGATAACATGGAATATTATATCGAGTAATACAAAACCTTTGAATATGTATCAATCACTCTAATCAAGATATAGCGTTTTTAACTTTCTACCATCTTTTCAAAGCCAAAGTAGATCCCCGTTGACTTCAGCGGAAGGATACATGTTTGTAGTTCTTCACTCTCAGTGACTCCAGTGACTGGTGAGCGTAGAGAGGTGGACGACTTTTCGACTCCGTGTGTGACTACCGCGAGTTACATTTTGTATTTTAAAGCGGTTTCAAACATGACGACTTGTTGAACACATGTAAAAAAACATACGGATATGTGTTAGTTTAGCACTACCGGTACTTGTTTGCCCTTTTATTGCTTGTGATACATTTTCAACGAGAGTTTTTGAGAACCAACGTCCCGGGAGACCGCTCAACTTTGGGCTGGCGACCTTATGTGGATTTTACAGAAAATATGGAGCAGCTTCCCGGTGTCTCCTCGGTCAAATCCCTAGCCGTGGTCTTCTGCTTTATTCACCTCTCTCTGGGTAAGTGTTTGATTTGGATAAACCTGTTTATCCAAGTTGTCTAATATCTTAAAAATGTGTCACGTTTTGTTGCCTCTGCATCTGCGGTACACGGGGCAGACATAGCATCACTTCACTGTGACGTTACAGAGGTGGGAGAAGTACTCAGATTGTGTACTGAAGTATTTTAGGGACTACAAGTACAACCCCAGGATAGATACATGTGTATACACTTCAAAGCTGATAGTAAGGTTGCGGACTTGTATTTTTTGTGCAGTTAATTTTATTTTTAGGGATATTTCATATCCATAAAAAGAGATGGGCTGACTCCAAACGTAATTTTGAAAATGTTTACCAAGAACTTAAACAATATATGAGCACTATTAGAAGCATTAGGAACAAAAAAGCTATTCAAACTAATTATGTATTGAACAAATATTGGACTTTTTTGTATCCAGGGTTTAAGATATCCATGTATGATCTTGAATAAAGTGGGAACAAAATCAAAACAAGTAATAGAAATCACGTACTTCTCGAAGTGGAGTAAATAAACATTATTTCCCATTTAAGTGTAATGAAGTAGAAGTATAAAATGGAAATACTGAAGTACTCAGATCTTTGAGTAAAAGTCGAAGTACCAGGAATACTCTGTTATAAGTAAAAGTCCTGCAATCAAAATGTGACTCAAGTAAAAGTACAAAAGTATTAGATTCAAAATATACTTTGAGTACCAAAAGTAAAAGTACTCATTATGCAGATTGGCCCTTTTCAGAAAAATATATATGATATGTTTGGATTATAATTATTGATGCATTAATGTGTTTATCACAGCTGGTAAAGGTGCAACTAAGTTGTATTACTTTGTATACTTCAAAGTAAAAGTACACTATTTACCTCTGAATTTTAGTGGAGTAGAAATGCTCAAGTATACAAGTACCACGACATTGTACCACGGGTCACGTTTCTATACAGGTTTCACACTTCACTGTTATAGTCATCTTTAGTAACTTCATTTTGGGACATTTTTCTATATTATCACTACTATTAAATTATGTTTTTTTAGTCCTGGAGCATTTTCACACAGTTTAAAAACAACTAGTATGATCTGCATTGTTCCCTACTTCGCCCCTTGTTTAATGCAATTGGTTAAGGTCTGGTTAATATGATACTGTGACCTATTACTACTAAGTGTTCAGTCTGAGTCACACACCGCTGCCCAGATGTTGAACAGCGAGAGCAAGAGAAAGAATTCAAAATGGACACTTAACCATGTTTAGTCTGCCCTGCTGAATTAAGAGATCTGACAGTGATAGAGGAGAGGCAACAATGTGGAGTTTACAAGGAAAATAATCACCAATATTTGTATGGTTAACTTTCATGATGTAGCCAACACATTTTTCCTTTCATAAAAATATGCCAGTTAAAAGTGTTAAGACCACCCTGCAGTAAAGCATTTTGGATAAATTCTCACACCTATTTTAAAGTAATGTGTGGGAAAATAAAGAAATATTTGTGATAATCTTAAAGATTACCTAAGTACTCCTTATCCTTTACCCGGCACATGTACTGTTCATGTGTCATAGCATTGGTAGCAGTGTCCATGTATTCAACAGGATAACTGGTTTACTTTCTACAGCAGCCTTAAGCTAAGTACTAGCATAGCATAATGCAGGAGTACTGGTTTACTTTCTAGTGCAGTCTTTTAGTAAGTACTAATTAGTGTCCACTAATTGGAGCCCAATAGCATGTTTTAAGATACTTAGACCCACACTCACTGTAGATTAGGATTTACTTAAAAGGATCAAAGGTTCTCTTGCATTTTAGTTACAATATGCTAATATAGAAAAGCACGTTAAAAAATCATTTGAATGACAGTGTACATGTTTGTGTTTTCCATTATTAAGTTTGAAATGACGGTAAAGCTGTTTGAAGAAACAATTAAGAAAGCTCTAAATTAGAGAGCAAGTGCTCAGTGTATGTATGGGGATCAGTGTTATTCCCAATTATAGAGTAATTCTAATTCCATTCCTATGTGTGCTTTGCTCTGGTAAATGCTCAATAGGACAAATTGTAGCCTTCTTGTTGCCTTTCCATGAGTGTGCCAAGGCAATGAAACTGATTTCATCTCAAGTGTTTTTCATTTTCTTCATTTTTATCTCAGGGTTGATGCATGCATGCGGCCTTGCTATTCTTTCTCACGTTTTTTCATCCATGCTAGGTGACTTGTGAACAGTGCAGTCACACAAAAGGGGAAAAGACAATATGAAAGGGCTGCAGGCAGTGCAAGGAGAGGCAGTGGAATGTTGTTGGTGTTTGACATTCCTCCCTCCCTCCCTCCCTCTCTTCAGCCACACACACACACACACACACACACACACACACACACACACACACACACACACTTTTTAGCATTCCACACCATCATTCAAAGCATTTAAGCATTCTCCCTCCCCTGACTCTCTGTCCATGGGGATTTGGGGATAAAGGCCAGCGGAGGGATTGTTGACCACAGGGACAGAGAGACGGGAAGAAAGAGGACATAGAGAGGAGGGAATGTCACTGTTTCTTAAGTTTGCTTTAGCTGGCCTTTGGTCTTGTGCAATAACTCTGCAACGAGTGCACACTGAGATGTGAAAGATTCGTCTGTGACATTTTGTGCCTCTTTATCCTCGTTACATCTGAAAATCGGTTTGGAAAACCCAGAAATAAATATATATAGACTTAAAAGTTGAGCTATGAATGCCTATGTGTTTTGCCTATAAAGTAAGAGTGTTTTAAATGATGTGGCTTTTGATGACTACGAACAAACATGTGGTTGATGTATGTGAGTCGGTTTGGTTGAATTCAAGAAGAAAGTTAGAAGTTAAAATAAAATAAAAGGGGGGTGAAGTTACAATTGGAGCTTGAAAATGGATACATCAATAGAGAGGTGGGAGGCGTACAACGCAGCCAATTGTTTCTTTATCATTCGACATTTGGGTCTGCAGACCTTTGCCAACAGATACAGGAGACTTACGAGACAAGGTCACATGACGCGCTCTGCAGGCTGAGATGTAGACTGACATAGATACAATCAGCTGCATTCAAATGATAATGTGATACTTTATTAATCCCCATTGGGAAAGTCTCTTTTTGTCTGTCCCCCTCCACAGGGAGGTCTGAGGTCAGGCTCAGCTACTGGGGAGTCTTGCTCAAGGACACATCAGCAGGGTGGAGGGTTGTCATGTTTTTTCTGCATTCGGTCACCTTGCCTCACTGTCCTCCATTGCTGTTTGTTTGAGAGTCCTTGGAGGCGGGCCACCTGTGTAGCACCAATTCCTTAAAAACTGAAACTCTTTTTTACGATGAGACAATTCTCCCAGAACAGACTGTGAGGGGAATGCAAATGCATCCCTTATTGTATCAGTTGCAGTCTCAATTTGCATTTTGAATAAGAGAGAGCTGAGTGTGGATGAAGCTCCTGAGTTTCACTGCCGGATGTTGTGCATTATGTGGTAACAGAGCATGATATGTAGCTTCGTTGTAAACCTTAAATATCCATTGTATGGAAACAAGTGTAAACTAAAAGATATCGATATTTATTTTCTTTACACAAAAATGTAATTGAAATGACTGCAGATCACCAAATCTAATTGTTGTTTTTAAAAGACTACTGTACGCATGCTAACACAGAGCAAGTATTCTGTAACAATTTGGGACCATGGGCTTGTTTTCTTTCCATCTAATAGTTAAAGGAGCAGATTGACACCACTTTCAAATCCGTCCATTGAATTTGAAGAAGATTAGCTTAGTTAAGCTTAGCATAAAGACTGAAAGAAGAGGGAAACGGCTAGCTTGACTGTGTCCAAAGTTTTTATTAGAATCTGCCTAGTAACTCGCTAGTTTAAAAGCTAGATCTTGGCTAAAACAAACAAAATATAACATATTAATCGGTAATCTTCAGAGGTGCTTACATTTGGATGAGCCTTTTCCCCATGTTTTAGTCTTTATGCTAAGCTAAGCTAACCAGCTGCTGGCTTTAGCCTCATATTAACAGAACATACATGAGTGGTATGGATTTACTTGTCTTACTTTCAGCAATATAGCAAATAGGCCTGGTCCCAAAATATCAAACTATTTCTTTAAGACATATTCACACATCAAGGGGGATCTATATGTCTATATATATACATATATATATATATGTATGTATAAAAGTACCCATAATGAGCAACAAATGTATCAAAACTGTCATGCTTCATCCGTCAGCATGAAGAGAAATCAGTGACTTGAGAAAGAGACTGAAAGCTGTTGATGAAGTCCCCAATACATTGAGCAAGGCACTAACACTGCCATGTGGGGATTTGTGGGGGGTTGGTTTCCTGTGTAACTCAAAGGTTCCCTGGAGCAGCCACGCAACAGTGTGTGCACTGAAAGGCAGCTGGGATCAAAGTGCGCACCAAATGGCTTTCTGTTAAGAATATATCTCGCTCTGAGTGCCAGTGACTCTTCAAACACTCGTTTCCTGCCTGTCTGCATGATTGACAGCTTCCCAACAATTTAATTCAAACGCTTACAAGCACTCAAATTAGACAAAGGCCCCCATTTCTTCCACATATATATCGCTAACATGTGTATACGAATGCTGCTTCTGCATCTGAACTTTGGTGTGTGAGTGAGTGTGCGTTGGGCCCGTGAGTTGTAAAAGTTGAACTTTGTATCGTCACGTTGTGCTCTGAAGCACATTTCCTGTCAGGCAGAGAGGTGTGTGTGTGTGTGTGTGTGTGTGTGTGTGTGTGTGTGTGTGTGTGTGTGTGTGTGAGAGAGAATATTTTACTGCTATCACTAAAGGAATTGTTCACCAATAAAAGGGGAACTAGGGGACTTCACAACAAAGCAGCAGGGGTATTAGCAACAGAGTGTTACTGTTGGTCCACATCTCTGTCTTCGGCTGCAACTCACTGTCTGTCTGTCTGTCTGTCTGTCTGTCTGTCTGTCTGTCTGTCTGTCTATCTGCTGTGTTATCTGTCTGTCCGTCTGTC